TAGTATTTATATATATATATATATATATATATATATATAGTCAAAATGCAAATAAAATTATTTGTAACTATCAAAATTATGCCCGAACGAAATTTAAAAGTAAAATGAAATCTTAGTTGATAATGAGATTTTGAGGGATCAGTTTTATACGTTATGATCTTGAAATATGTTAATTCATGAAATTATTATGAATAAAAATTGGGAAACTGATGAATCGCAACAAAAAACACGATGCAAATAAGATATAGTTTTTTTCACCTCACTATAGCCCAAGTTTTTTAAACGAAAGTCAAACATTAGTTCCAAAACCCAACAAAAATTTCCTCTAACTTCGCGATCAAAACGATTTCACATAAAATCACAAATCATAAAACCAGACCTAGTTCTTCATTTTCAAAAAAATAAAGAGAATTTCAGTGAAAGTGATGTGAAACGATAACCGAGAGAAGAGGATGGGGAAAATTCTCTCGCGTAGAAAGTTAGTCCCAAAAGAGGAGCAAGAGCAGTTTTGGCGTCTAGTTGGCGAGGGGCAACCCACAGTAGAGAGGAACAATTTCCGGACCCGACTTCTCAGAAAGAAAGTGAACGGTGTAACGATCAAATGGAACCGTTATCGCGATACGGGACAATCAAGTCCTATCAGAAGGAGTCCGGAAGAGGGATTCCGAGAAGGCAGATTAGGGAAAGCCGACTCTATTGCCCTGCATCAGAATTCCCCAACGATGGAAGCTTACCAATACATGTTTCAGGGATTTTTTCCCCTTTTCTTTTTTCAGATCATCAAATAGAAACGCAATTGACACCATTTGTAGAACCTTCCCTCTTTATTTGTAAATAATAACAACATTGCAAAATATTTTCACTTTATCTCACAAATATATTAATTTTTCAAAACATTTTTAGCTTCGCAAAAATATTAAAAGAAATAAAATAATACCAAAAGCTTTTATCCTGCACAAGACTATTAAAATTAGATAGAGCCTTGTAAGCTCAGTTAAAAATAAATAAATAAAAAACAATTAAAAGTTTAAAATATTAAAGTCTATTTTTTTTTCAAAAAAAAAGCCAAAAAAATTCACATTTTATCTGAAACAATATCTAGTGAAAAATTGCAGCTTTAACAACATAATAGATCAATATAATTAGTCCATTAGTGGTCTTACTTGAGACAAATTTTTACACAATTTTCACAATTTCAAAAATAATATTATTAGACAGAAAAACTATATTGATTTAGTTTTCTTTAATTAAATAATTTTTAATATATGCATTAGTCTCATTTGAGTTGAATTTTTGAACCAAGATCTGAGAGTATTATGAAATATACCCTGAGTATCATTTACTTATGGCAATGATTTTTTGTATATATAGATATTTCCTGGTGAAACAAAAGTAATAATAATTGAATATAAAAAATTTCTTGTCTTTATTTGTATTTTAGTTTTTTAAAGAATTGTATATTAAGACTATTAATTTGATTATTTAAAAAAAAAAAAAAAAAGAAACTCACATAATTTTTGCCAACTTGGCGATAAACTATTTGCCATGGCGCTAGAGTGCATACTTCTCCATCAATTCACAAAGAGTCTAATTGTAAAGCCAAATAGTATTGAGTAAAAAAATTTAAGTCAAAGTTGCTCTTATTTCTCGTTTACATCTCGATTGCAAATAAAGAATCATAACACTTACAACATTCACAACAAACTAACTACAATTTCTACACAATAATAATGATATGATTCACTTAAATTAAATGAGGGCTTACTGCTATTTAGATTTGGATTGCTTCAACAACTCGAGAAATTACAAAACTTCCTGTCAATGTAGACTTTCCTCATCATCAAAAGCTTTTGCTGCTATACCATATTGTTCAAATATTTGGAAATTATAAACACTTACTGCAAATTTAATTTGGTTACTTTTAACTATATCTCTTTAGTGAGACAAAACCTCTGTCGAATTACATCATTTCTAATTTACGGTCACTGCCATTTATCCTACTGATGAAGGCCATTTATTCTACCGAAAAAGGTATTTTAAGTGCTGTTTTTTAATAAATTTTATTTTATATCATAGGATCAATCTCGTAACTTTATGATGACTGCTGTTATTTAGCTAAAAACATGTGACGTTCACAAATATATATTTATTGTTTGTTTAGTATTATTTGATTTAATTAGAGTATTCTCTGTTATTCTACTTCTTTTCTTTTTCAATATTGATAAGATTACTATGGAATGAGCACTATTTCAGAAATGACTACGACATTGAGAAAAAAACTCGATGTCATAAAAACGGTGAAGAAATGTCATTCATTAGTCGGTAAAAAGAGTTCAGAGGAAAATGTTAAGATGAAATGAGGTGATAAAGAGTTGATTTAATTAGTCAACAATATTTGAGATTCGATAGTTTTTGATTGTTTAATACTATTTAAAGAGTATTTTCTGTTTTGGTAATATTGGTTTCAATGTAATGAGCACTATTTCGGTATTAGATAAGATATCGAGAAACATATTATAAAAAATGTCACGATTGGTTGAAAGAGTTGAGGGAAATACTTACGCCGAATTGAGGTGATATTCTTTAATCAACAACATTTGAGATATACTTTTTGGCTGTTTAACATTAATTAATTTAATTAGAGTATTCTCTAATATCCAATTTTCCTTTTGCAATGTTGGTTAGGTTACTATCGAATGAGCACTATTTCGAAAATGAATACGATTTAAGGAAACATTTAATAAAAAACGTCAGAACTAGTTGAGAAAGTTGAGGGAAATACTTGACGCTGAATTGAGGTGATATTCTTTAATGAACTTGATATATAAAACCTTTTTGGTTGTTTAGCATTAGTTAATTTAATGAGAGTATTTTCTGTAATGATTTTATTTTTGCAATTTTGCCTAGGTTACTACCGAATGAGCACTATTTCAAAAATCAATATAATATAAAGAAAACACAACCGGGTTTATACAAGTCGGTTAAAAGAGTTAAGAGAAACATTTGATGATGGTGATAAAAATATTACTTACCGGCGGGAGTAGAGGATGATGAGACAGGTGGGATTTTCATGAGTGGCCGGAACTCGACAAGTGATAAGGATGTTGAAGAGGAACCAGGACTTCGAATTCCAGGTTCGGAAGGTAGGGCAGGATGGGATTCTGGTTTCTCTCTGCGGTCGGAATTTAAATCATGTGGACAACCGCCGCCCCCTGACGATACGCCACCACTCAGCAACAAGCCCTGCAAAAAAAATTAGATAATTAAAACATGTTTTATATTGCCTAATTTCATGTTATACTTAAAATATAATATTAATCAATGAAGAACAGTTAAAAACTTACATTTAAAAAAAAAGGGACTTGTTGAACGATTAGCTATTTTACTGCAAGAATATAATCATTATTATAGTTTGTCAAAAATTTGCTGAATTGACTCACATAAATTGTTCCATAATTTTAAAGCAAATGATCGATTTTGAGTGGGTAAAAATATTGGAATTGTTGCATTAATGGCTTATCGATTGCGTAGACAGGATTTCAAATAACTACAAATATTAAATAATTTAGTGTCCTTTTTCTTAATGGTAATTTCGAATTAAAAACTGTGACGCTGTACAAACACGATTAAAAATATAATTCTACTGTTTTCGTCAAAAAGTAATGAATAAGACAAAAGAAATGATAAGAATGAATATA